GTTTGGATGATCCTCTGGGGCACAGAGGATCACACCCTGTGGTGTGACCCTTGAGGATGGGCCTGAGGGTTGGACTCAATTATCCTTTTGGATCCCTTTCAACTCAGCACAGTCTGTGATTCCGGGACTTCAGATTCACTTCAAATACATTTATGAAACCAAGGATGAGGTGGGGAGTCAATCAGTGTTGGGGCCAAGCAGGATCCACCTCAGAAGGAGCAAACCTGGCAAGACACATCCTTGTCCTGGAGGTTCTGGGGCTGTGCAGGACACAGACCTGCAGCAAAGTTCCCAGCAAATGAGGAAAGCCAGGCTGTGGGAGGAGAAAAGGAGGGGAGCAGAGAAGAGACTGGAGGGTGCCAAGCAACATCAATTATGTGGTTTTGCCAAGAGCACAGGATGGAGCTGGAGTGATAAAGTTTACATTTCACAGATGACAAAATTTACAGGCCGGGGGAGAGTCAGGATTTGCCATTTATCTCAGACCCCGCTTTTCTTCGGAAAAAAAAATGAGCATTTTAGCCTGGAAGTTCCCCAAATGCACTATGGAGTTGCTGGGGTGGAACCATCAGGATTTCAGGGACATGGCTACACCCCTTCCCTTCTGCACCCTGCTTTAGAAAGGACAGCAGGGCTCTGTTTGGGTGGGTCTGCTCACTGCTGGGGGTGCTTTCTCCCTGTGCTTTGAGGGTGGCTGTACAGACACCCAAGTCTGATTTCATCCCCTGCAGCTTTTGCAAAGCCCAGCTCAGCCCTGGTTCAGCCCCTGCTCCCACTGCAGGTGTCTCATGGCAGTGCTGTCCCAGCATGTCCCACACAGCCCCATCACCCTTCCAGTGCAGATGGAACCTGGACACTGCTGTCACCTTCATCTGAACCCCCCAACTCATCCTCACATCCTGCTTTTCCAGCTTAAACCACATCAAATGGACCTGCCAGGGTTGATGTCTCCCCGTCCCCAGCATCTCTGGGATTCTGAGAGCAAGTTCTGGCAGAGACCAAACTGATGAACCCAAAATGAGGGGAAAGCTCATTCTGGGAGAGCACCAAATTCATCACACCAATGACTGACCCAGAGCAAGACTCTTAACTCCCTTCCACAGAGGTGAGAGGCTGGAGCTGCACACACAGCTGCATCAACCTCTGGAGTCACAGATAATTGAGCTAAACTTACTTTAAACAAGAGTTAAACTTACACCATTTCCCTTTCCCTGACCCAGTTGCAGGAAGGAAGACTTTATTCCCCTTTCCATTTTCCTCTCACCACTGTTTTCTCCCCTTGTTACACAGATGAGGCAGCAGAATTTTAATGCCTTTCGTGTTCTGTGAGGGATCTCAGCAAATGGTACCACTCTGACCTTTTCAGCTCTGTAATTCCAGCAGCTCTCCAGACCCTCTTCCTTGCCCAGGGAGAGAAGGATCAGGGGGGAGCTGGGAAGGCACTTTGTTCAGGGCTTTTCTGGTGGCAGAGGACCAAGGAGCTGCTTCCCAGAGCATCAACCCCCTGTAGGGATGAGCCAAGGGGCAGATGGTGGGATGCAGGAGGATGACACCAGTCCCTGCCACACATCCCTTACCAGGTGGGGAAGAGGAGGGCACAGTGCCCCAGGAGGGTCCCAGGGATGGAGTTTTGTGTTTTAAAAGCCTGAGGACGAAAGCAATGGAAAACCCCTCTGTCCCCACGAGGGGAGAGGGCTGTCAGCTCTTCCCACAGCACAGAGAACAAATTCCCTTGGTCTCCCCAGCTGGGAAATGGAGATGCAGTGAAGTCTTGAGCCTTAAAAAGCACCACTGAGACCAGCCAAGACCCAAAGCCCACCCTGAGCTGTTTCCTGGAGTCTGAATCAGGTGCTGTCCCCTGGCTGGGGTGGGGACAGGGACCTTTTCCCTCTTTGCTCCTCTAACCCAGGGCTTTGCCTCCTGCCTGTGCTCCCTCTGTGATCCCTCCCAGCCCAAATCAGAGCAGCCCCTCCCGTGCTCCCGCTCCACCGCCCAATTCCCGTCGGACGGGATCACCTCAGAACACCACCTCACTCACAGGCTGCTGCTCCTCCCTCCGAGCTGCTTCAACAGCACAAAGGGGTTCTCCCCCTGCTCCTTCCTCTTCCACAATCATCCTCTTCCCCACAGGTTTAACCTGAAATCCCCCCCAACCAACCCCTCCCTGCCGTGGGGAGGGAACGGGAACGGCTCCGGTTGCCGCGGGCGAGCCAGAACCTGGTAAATTTTAATCCTTGCTGTTGTTGTACAGAAGAACAAGGATTGAGATAAAAGGCTCACCAGCCCAGCCATAATTATATTAGAAAGGTAATTATCTCTTCTTCCACCTGACTTTGTGCTTTCTTAACATAATGAAGTTTCCAGCTCGTGTTTGCGGCGACAGGACCCGCCACCACCGACTGGCTGGGAAACGTGAAAGTTAATTGTCTGCTCAGAGGGGAGGCTGTGGAGGAGAACAAAGGAACAGGGAAGCCCTGGGAGGAGAGGAAAACAGAGCTCTTGGCTGCTGCTGCTGCCCGTGTCCCAGCACAGAGCTGGTCCTGAGGCACCCCCGGGCTCTCAGCACCCCAAACCACAGCAGCACCCTCTCAAATGCACTTTTGTTTCAGGGCAGCTGCCCCGTGGATCCTGGTCTTCCAGGCTGTTTCCCAACCCCCAGGAAGGCTGAAGGGATGGTAAAATAAAAAGGCAGTTTTACTTTCTGATCTTGCTGAATAGTGCAGGAAGGAGAGGGCCATCCCAGCAGAGAAACCTGGAGTGGTTTGGGTGGAAGGGACATTAAAGGTCATCTAATTCCAACCACCCTGCCATGGGCAGAGACACCTTCCACTAACCCAGGTTGCTCCAAGCTCCATCCAGCCTGGCCTTGGACAATTCCAGGGATCCA